CACAGTGGTTCTGGAAAGAAGTCAAAAATAAGAATCAAAGGCCTGACGGCCTGAGAGGCGCATCGCATTGAGGGTATAAAACTTTTTTTTCTTGGAGAAATTCAACATCAATGTTAAGGGAATGAAATAATCCAGGAATAAGAATTTAAAAAATATTTAACATTTCTTTGAGGTTAAAAAAATTGAGCCATGGCTCTGAATTTTAGCCAATCGATCAGGAAAGGAAAAACATTTTTTTTAAAAAAGATATATCCGTTATAATTCATTGATATTTAAATTGAATCATAATTGATTTTAATTGTATTTTAATTCTTTTTTAATTTTTATTCTTTGACTATTAGGAAGATGAAATAATGAATGTCAATATAGAAATTTATTACTAGTAATGATTATTGAATAATATTACATAATTTGATATCTGAATTATTTCAGTTTCTTTCATTATGTGTACTTTTATAAATATCACTTCCTTGTTTTAACTTTTTCCCAATATAAATGGCACAATATATAACAAATATTTATTATTATATACGTGAAAATTTCACGTAAATTATACGGGACTAAAATAAATGATCGGGCGTGGTATACGGTTTATTATGAACCCAATACAAAACCGAGTAATTCATAGTACGAGCTGTTGTTATGCAAATAGATTAGATCTTACTCCGCGCAGTGCACGTTTGTTGTTGTTTTCTCTCTGTTTTAATTGTTTATTTTCTCATTTTTCGTAACCTCTGTTGATTCAAAGTTAAAACAACATGTATGTGTGAGATATTGTGTTATTAGCAGTTTAAAATTAACAATGGATATCGCCAACTTGTCAATGTACATAAGCACTATTTTTAATAACGTGTTAAGAATCAATATTGTTGAGTCCTTTGCCGCCGCAGTTTAGATAAGAAAGAATTGCCAGGTGATCGCAATGAGGCTGCATCGAAAACGATGCGCCTCAAAAATTACAGATTGCCAGAAAACGGTCTACCAGAAAAGTACAGGAAAGCTAAAAAATAGCAGCTGTATGAATGGCACAACTAAAATGTGACCAAAAATGATCCTTTTTCTATCAAAAAAAAACATTTTCTCTGTTGCTCACTCACTGTGGAATAAAATCATTCCTGCATGGAAATTTAGAAAATAAAAGATTACGAATTTACCTTTAACATTAATAATGATTTAACCTACACCAGAGCTGCCAACATTCTGAAAAGACAAATAGTAAGGCGGGGTCTACGGACCACCAATGCCCCCTGCCGCTGAAGATGTTTTGTAAATGGATATGCAATCTGAGGCATGTTTCTATTTTGTTTACTCTAAAACATTGACATGAATGTGATCGGCCTTCTAAAACCGAAAGGATGATACAAGCAAGCATTGTAAGAATTGTGATATATAACAATTATAGTAGAAACTATATAGATTGCCAGCTAAGAAATACCAGAATTACAAACTTTGAACGAAAAAACTGGAATCGGAAGAATATAGAGAGAAATCGTAAGGCGTATTTTAGACGCTGATTTCGTACGCCTTACGCCAAAATCGTAAGGGTTGGCAGCTCTGCCTACACTAATGGAAAATTTTGATAGCATTAATGTAGGTCTCTGAATTAACAAACCTGGTTATCTAGCAATGGTTGTAACATAGGAGCTGCTGATCCTTTAGCTCTGTAGCCATCTGATCCATAGGACCCGACAGGATCAAAACTGTACACCACACCTTTACCTGTCAAAGACAATGTCAGAATGATCAAAACAAACCAGGGCAACAACTACCATGATTTACTTTTCCAAACCCTAGTTTTAAAATAAATATAATGCATGTATGGTACAAAATCTTACTGTCAGATAATTGCTGCAAAGTACCAGTACATTATTTAATAGCGGCATGTATGTCATCGTCGGAAACCCACGGGTGATCTCGTCTTTACTTATCACCCAAGGGTAAACTAGCTGAAATATCGCCGTAAAATATGCTAATTTGTTGTTTTTAGTCAACCAATCAGAAAGTTGGAACTCTTCAATTTTGAAAAATACATTTATTACTTTGCTATTTATGGTAAATATTTTGACGCTCGTTAAAACTTGCGAAGTTTGATTTAAAACAATGAAAGTCAATTCGAACAGGTCACTGACATTAATATCCGTCAGATATTATGAAGGAGTACCTCTTTCTAACTGCAAAATGCACAAGTGAGTGGATTTATCAGCTGTGTTAGCTATGGAATGAGTTTTTCATGTTTTTGGCAATGCTGAACATGCATGTGTAACGTGAACTATGATGCGTTGTTTCGCATCGCGACTCTGTGATGCGGCCAATCAAATGACCCATGCATATTTAATTACATACGACGATATTTCAGCTAGTTTGCCCACGGGTGATAAGTAAAGACGAGATCACCCCTGGGTTTCCGACGATGCATGTATGTAAAAATGCAAGTATGCCCAATGGAAACAAAATCTTATTGTCAGATAATTGCTAGAAAGTACATGTATACTGTAGTACATGTAATTATTTTAAATGTACAATGTTTAGTTTTTAAAACCAAAAATCCATTACTGAAGTACCTTCCTCATCTAGTCCTGCAATGATGTTGTTCACGTAGTAAGGGAAGAATCTTCTGTGATACAACATGGTGGATAACATGGCTGCTATTTCTGATGTAGTCATCTTTTTATGGTGCTCATGTTCAAACATCTGTAAAGTTAAAAGAAATACATGTACTAACAAGTCATAAAGTCTACAGCCAGAGTTAACAAGAGGCCCAGAGGCCACATCACTAACCTGAGCAATTGGCTAGGAAAAAGCACAAATCAGATCAGAACGAAACGTTTACTGAGGTTGGGGGAGCGTGAATTTTAACCCCCCAGGGGATCTTGATTTGAACAAACTAGAATTTACATTATATGAGGATGATTCCATATAAATAAATATAACCAGGTAATCATGGCTTTGAAGTGCTTGAAAAGAAAATTTTAAAAGGTTTCCCTATACATTCCTTTGTAAAACTTTGATCAGCCATTTTGGCCCCATTCTACCACCCGGGGTCATGATTTGAACAAAATTGAATCTACACTAACTGCATGGGGATGATTCCACATGAGTTTCATCTTTCCTGGCCCAGTGATTCTTGAGAAGAAGATTTTTAAAAAAATTTCCTAAATATTCCTATGTAAAACTTTGATCAGCCATTTTGGTCCCACCCTGCCAAAATGGGGTCATCATTTGAACAAACTTGAATCTACACTACCTGAAGAAGATTCCACATGAGTTTCATATTTCCTGGCCTAGTCAGTCTTGAGAAGAAGAGTTTTACAGATTTTTCCTATATATTCCTATGTAAAACTTTGATCGGCCATTTTGGCCCCACCCTGCCCCCAGGGGTCATCATTTGAACAAACTTGAATCTACACTACCTGAGGATGATTCCACATGAGTTTCATCTTTCCTGGCCCAATGGTTCTTGAGAAGAAGATTTTTAAAAAAATTTCCCATATATTCCTATGTAAAACTTTGATCGGCCATTTTGGCCCCGCCCTGCCCCCGGGGGTCATCATTTGAACAAACTTGAATCTACACTACCTGAGGATGATTCCATATGAGTTTCATCTTTCCTGGCCCAATGGTTCTTGAGAAGAAGATTTTTAACGATTTTTCCTATATATTCCTATGTAAAAATTTGATCGGCCATTTTGGCCCTATTCTACCCCAAGGGGTCATGATTTGAACAAATTTGAATCTACACTACCTGAGGATGATTCCACATGAGTTTCATCTTTCCTGGCCCAGTGGTTTTTGAGAAGAAGATTTTTTTAAAATGCCATTAATTTTCCTCTAATTCATAATTATCTCCCCTTGGAAAAGGGCATGGCCCTTCATTTGAATAAACTTGAATCCCCTTTACCCAAGGATACTTTGTAGCAAGTTTGGTTGAAATTGGCCCAGTGGTTTTCGAGTAGAGGATGAAAATGTGAAAAGTTTAGACAACGCACAAATTTTTATCACAAAAGCTCACTTGAGCCTTCGGCTCAGGTGAGCTAAAAAGTGATGACATCAATTTCAACATCTTACTAAATTCAATCTTTACCTAAGAAATAAATTAATTTCAGGTATAAACAAGAGGCCCATGGGCCACATCGCTCACCTGAGAAGCTTTGACCATGTGATTCTTAACCAGATTTCCACCTTGTAATACCTATTATGACCCAATCGTACCCCAAGGGCCTTAATTTGGACAATTCAAATTCCCTATTGTGGCCCTGCCCAACCCCTGGGGGTCATGATTTGAACAATTTAGAATCTATACTACCCAAGGATGCTTCCACATAAGTTTCAGCTTTTCTGTCCTAGTAGTTCTTGAGAAGAAGATTTTTAAAGATTTTTCCTATATATTTCTATGTAAAACTTTGATTCCCTATTGTGGCCCCGCCCAACCCCCGGGGGTCATGATTTGAACAATTTAGAATCAATACTACCCAAGGATGCTTCCACATAAGTTTCAGCTATTCTGGCCCAGTAGTTCTTGAGAAGAAGATTTTTAAAGATTTTCCTATATATTTCTATGTAAAACTTTGATTCCTGCCAAAACCCCGGGGGTCATCATTTGAACAATTTAGAATTTAAACTACCCAAGGATGCTTCCACATAAGTTTCAGCTATCCTGACCCAATGGTTTTTGAGAAGAGATTTTTAAAGAGTTTTCCTATATATTTCTATGTAAAACTTTGATTCCCTATTGTGGCCCCGCCCAACCCCCGGGGGTCATGATTTAAATAATTTAGAATCTACACTGTCCAAGGATGCTTCAACATAAGTTTCAGCTATTCTGGCCCAGTAGAAAACTAGTTCTTGAGAAGAAGATTTTTAAAGATTTTTCCTATATATTTCTATGTAAAACTTTGATTCCTGCCAAAACCCCGGGGGTCATCATTTGAACAATTTAGAATTTAAACTACCCAAGGATGCTTCCACATAAGTTTCAGCTATCCTGACCCAGTGGTTCTTGAGAAGAGATTTTTAAAGTTTCTATGTAAAACATTGATTCCCTATTGTGGCCCCGCCCAACCCCCAGGGGTCATGATTTGAACAATTTAGAATCTACACTATTCAAGGATGCTATCACATAAGTTTCAGCTATTCCGGCCCAGTAGTTTTTGAGAAGATTTTCAAAGATTTTTCCTATATGTTTATATGTAAAACTTTGATTCCCTATTGTGGCCCCGCCCAACCCCTGGGGGTCATGATTTGAACAATTTAGAATCTACACTACCCAAGGATGCTTCCACATAAGTTTCAGCTTTTCTGGCCATGTAGTTTTTGAGAAGAATATTTTTAAAGATTTTTCCTATATATTTCTATGAAAAACTTTGATTCCCTATTGTGGCCCCGCCCAACCCCCGGGGGTCATGATTTGAACAATTTAGAATCTACACTATCCCAGGTTGCTTCCACATAAGTTTCAGCCTTTCTGGCCATGTAGTTTTTGAGAAGATTTTTAAAGATTTTTCCTATATATTTCTATGTAAAACTTTGATTCCCTATTGTGGCCCCGCCCAACCCCCGGGGGTCATGATTTGGACAATTTAGAATCTACACTACCCCATGGTGCTACCACATAAGTTTCAGCTTTTCTGGACAGTGGTTTTTGAGAAGAAGATTTTTAAAGATTTTTCCTATATATTTCTATGTAAAACTTTGATTCCCTATTGTGGCCCCGCCCAACCCCCGGGGGTCATGATTTGAATAATTTAGAATCTACACTATCCCACATTGCTTCCACATAAGTTTCAGCTTTTCTGGCCCAGTGGTTCTTGAGAAGAAGATTTTTTAATGACCCCACCCTATTTTTGTCTTTTCTTGAATGTCTCCTCTTTGGAGAGGACTTGGCCCTTCATTTTAACAATTTAAATTCCCCTTCATCCAAGGATGCTTCGTACCAAGTTTGATCAAAATTGGCTCAGTGGTTCTTGAGAAGAAGTCGAAAATGTGAAAAGTTTACAGATGGACGTACAGCTGGACAGACGGACGGACGATGGACAAAATTTGATCAGAAAAGCTCACTTGAGCCTTCGGCTCAGGTGAGCTAACAAGTCAGTAATTTTTACCTTTAATCGAGCATTTAAGACTTTTGTTAGAGTTAACACATCTCCATGGAATCCACAAGCTCCTAACACTGTTGAGCTTGTTCTGAAAGAAAGATTAACAAGAGGCCCATGGGCCACATTGCTCACCTGAGTAACTTGGGTGAAGCAGATCTTTAGCAAATTTCTCTTGCTATACCTATCGTGCCCCCCTACCCCCTCCCCTTACATGATTTTAATACTTTAGAATTACACTACCCAAGGATGCTTCCACATAACGTTCAGCTTTCCTGGCCCAGTGGTTCTTGAGAAGAAGATTTTTAAAGATTCGTTCTATACATTTCTATGTTAAAACTTGGATTCCCTATTGTGGCCCCGCCCTATCCCCGGGGCTCATGATTTTAACAATTTAATATCTTCACTACCCAAGGATGCTTCCACATAAGATTCAGCTTTCCTGACCCAGTGGTTCTTGAGAAGAAGATTTTTAAAGATGTGTTCTATACATTTCCAAGTAAAACTTGGGATTTCCTATTGTGGCACCGCCCTAACCCCAGGGGTCATGAATTTATCAATTTAATATCTACACTACCCAAGGATTCTTCCACATAAGTTTCAGCTTTTCTGGACCAGTGGTTCTTGAGAAGAAGATTTTTAAAGATTTGTTCTATATATTTCTATGTAAAACTTGGATTCCCTATTGTGGCCCCGCCCTACCCCCAGGGGTCATGATTTTTATAATTTAATATCTACACTACCCAAGGATGCTTCCACATAAGGTTTAAGCTTTCCTGTTTCAGTGGTCCTTGAGAAGAAGATTTTTAAAGATTTGTTCTATATATTTCTATGTAAAACTTGGATTCCCTATTGTAGCCCCGCCCTACCCCCGGGGGTCATGATTTTTACAATTTAATATCTACACTACCCAAGGATGCTTCCATATAAGTTTCAGCTTTCCTGGCCCAGTGGTTCTTGAGAAGAAGATTTTTAAAAGATTTTTTCTATATATTTCTATGTAAAACTTGGATTCCCTACTGTGGCCCCGCCCTACCCCGGGGGTCATGATTTTTACAATTAAATATCTACAATACCCAAGGGTGCTTCCACATAAGTTTCAGCTTTCTTGGCCCAGTGGTTCTTGAGAAGAAGATTTTTAATGACCCCACCCTATTTTTGTCAGGCCTTTCAAAATCTGCCGGTACCCGGTACTTTTACCCGGTTGGATTCATTCATGGTACCGGCCAAAATATTCAGTGGAGAAAAAAAAATCGCGTGAAAATACGATAGGCCCTACCATGTTTTACAAAAGTTGTGGTTACGTAGCTTTGTATTATTCTTTAATCCGTAATGGTATCTAATAACGTTTTTGATTGGTTAGTCAAGAAGATCATTAAAGCGTTTGAATAAATGAAACAAGAGATTGCAAAACGCGTCTTATAGATCTTGTCAAAAACGAAAGTAGATTTCGATATCAAATGCCACCGTCACTGATTTTGACAAAAGCTAATGACTAGGAATATATTTTAAATAAATTCACAAAAGATTTTAAGATACAAGGAACTAGACCACGGAAAGTCTTCCAACACAATTGACCGATAAAGAGACGGACATGAACAGTAGATAGTTCTTTGACCACCTCTGTACATTTTAATATACTCAACTCTTCAAATTTAAGTGTCAAAATCCGCAGCTGACGATATAAATTACTTACAGTCTTGAATATCTGCAACTTTCTGATGAAACAAGAGGACATAAAACAGAAACTATTTCTTTTACCACACATTTAATTCTTTGATTCAGCAGTTTTCTAGTGGTCAAGAGAATGACCTTGCGGACGTTTACTTTCTTCCCAATATTGTAACCATATCCAGTAAAGTGAGGGAGTCATATCTAAAAAAATTTTTGTCTCCAGTCTTGATGTCATCTTTATCTAATTTACACATGTATATTATTTTATATGTATATGTACCAGTGCATGAAAAATATGCTGAATTTATTGGTACATGCTATGCATCATGCAGTGCTTCTTCTAAATTTTTTTTTTTTTAATCTGCACTTTACTGTAGAACAGAAATGAATTTAATTTAATGCAAATACAATTTCATTTCTCTTTTATTAAATTTAAATTTTGAATTGCCATTTCCTTTCGTGACTCAATAACTTTTTTTTATATTTAAAACATAACACTTACAACTCAAACCTTGCAAAATTTTTTTGAACACATTTATATAAACAAATATAGCATAGAACTTAGAAGTTTTACCTAAATCTTATTCTTACTCTGCTCAAATAACTAATTTTTTCTATGTAATTCCACCCTTCCAGTGCTAAAACTTCACATGTAATGTGTATTGACCAAAAATAAACTTTGAAACATGGCATAAAAATAATACTGATAGCAGCATACTTATATGTGTCTAGAAACCAGGAAATGCTATCTGGTGGCTTCTAAATTTCAAAATTTTTCCGGGGGGGGGGGGGGGGGGGGGCATGCCCCCGGACCCCCCTAGCAGGCTCACGCCTTCGGCGTTCGCCAAGTGGTACCTCCTATTTTTGATAAAGTACCACCTGGTTCAAATCTTTTTGAAAGCCCTGTTTTGTATTTTCTTGATTATCTCCCCTTGGAAGGGGACTTGACCCCTCATTTTAACAATTTAAATACCCCTTTACCCAAGGATGCTTTGTACCAAGTTTGGTTAAATTTGGTCTATTGGTTCTTGAGAAAAGTCGAAAATGTGAAAAGTTTACAGACGGACGGACGGACAGACGGACGACGGACAAAATGTGATCAGAAAAGCTCACTTGAGCCTTCGGCTCAGGTGAGCTAAAAAGTATATGGGTGATATTTATACACATGTAATATATGAGTTTATAAACAAAGCTTAAAGCTCAGATGTTAAAGTTCGACACTTTAATAGTTTGAAACTTTGAAATTAAAAAGAAATCCAAAAGATTATGAATTCAACCAAAAAAATAACCATACAGACAGAAAATAGATGTTAAACAATTAGAGCTCATGAGCCCAGGTTAGCTAAAAGTGTTACATACAAACAAAATCTTTTGAAAAATTAAAAGATTTTTTTTAAGTTGCTCTGCTAAAATATTTTTTATTGATTATAATTACTTTTTCAAGCAGATATTCTATGCTCACTTGAATTTTATTTAGTTTTTTAGAGTTCCTTATTAAAAATATATTTTGTTGATCCTATGACAAATGCTTGTTTCAACCAAAATTTCTATACAACAAATTAATACTCACAGTTTATATGTTTTGGGTAAATCTCTTGTGTGGATAGAAAATCCCTGACTTAACCTTGTATCTGAAGCCACAACAACAAAGTCTTCCCCAGCTATTGCCAAACAAGTCCTGAAAGGGAGGAATTTATGTAGATGTTATAAAGTATTGCAATGAGAAATATTTTTGTTCACTATAAGGTATTTTGCTACCATACATTTTAAATTTAGTACTTTAATAACTCTGAAAGTCTTTGTACTCAACCATTTTAATGCTGTTTTATTTTTGCCTTTTATGAAGCTTTTAGACCAAATTTGAATCTAGTCTACACTATGTTTTAATTAAAGAAGATTCACTTCAGTTTCAACTTTTTTGACCCAGTAGTTCTTGAAAAGAATTTTGAAAGATACAACCAATTTTTCACTTTTTCTTAATTATCTCCCCAGGAAGAGGGAGTGGCCCTTCATTTAAATAAACTTGAATCTCCATGATCCAAGAATACTTTGTGCCAAGTTTGATTAAAATTTGCCTTGTGGTTCTGGAGAAAAAAAGTTTACAACAATGACAACAACAACAATGGGCAAATTTCAATCAGAAAAGCTCACTTGAGCTTTCGACTCAGTTGATACAGGGGAACCAGGAACCAGGTTCAAATCTTGTTCTGGTGAGACTGATCAGACAAAATTTTCCTATCCCTGGTTCCATTCAATGGTATTGTTATCATGCTCTGGAAGTGACAGGTAAAAAACCTGCTAGGGAATAGCCTGGGTTGGTTTTCTTTTGGTGAATTAAACCTGATCCGTGAAAACAGACAATAAAATGCAATTGTCAAAAATATTATGAGGTTACTG